TTATGTTGTATCTCAAATTCGAAATCAAATTTTTGAAAACCGCTGACATCCCTAGCTAGAAGGGTTTGAACAATTTTCTACTCTACTGTTGAAGAAACAGAATGCATGGATCTGTAGAAGGCTTAAAGCTTGCAAGTTCATTTGGCACTGCAAAGAATAGCTCTTGCAGGAGACACTAAAAAGATATCTGATCTTCTGTTGGTGGATAATTTAGAGCGACCTTGGTGTATTCATGACCTGATTGTGAAATGCAGAAGAATTTAATTTTCTTACTCATGCTTAGTCCTTGGAGGCTTGGAGTGTAATAAACGGGCTAATGTGCTAACTTTGGTTTTTGTTGAATGGAACCAACCTTGGGGCTTTCCAGGAAAAAAAGGCTCCTTAGTGTCACGGACCTAGACTCTTTTAGTGTCACGTGTGGCCTTGCAATACCACTCTCTTGCAGCACAAGTCATCCTTCCCTCCTTGAGCACCCTCTTGGTTCTTGGAACAAGCAGGCACCACACCCACAAATGAACTAAGGCACATTCCTAGGCTACTTGAGACAAGGAAGTGTAAGTGGTGTGGTAAGGCAAAGTAAGGTGGTCTCCTTGAAGGACGAAGAAAGGCTAGGGGTCTCGGGTAACAGAAGTAGGCAAGGATCTTCTATGGACCGAATCTTGTGTTTGTTATGATCTACACCCCTTTTATAAGGGGCGATCCCAAGGCCCTGAAGGAAAGGAGCCAAAAGGGGTTTGACTCCTATTTGGAAAGGGGATATTTGATTCAATGTTGGTTGTCAAGAGGACACTGCTAGGGATTCACCATGTGTCACACGAGATCTTTCCAGGACGAAATTTCCTTTTGTCCGAGGATTCTCATAGTGCACGTGCGCTACTTCCCTTCAAGGGTCTCCTGTATCGACGTGGCACAGGTGATGTCAGAATTAGTCTGACGTATTCTATTGAGTCTGCTAGATGTCCTGTTGTGAGCGGCTTTGGCTCATTGCAATCGTGCGATGGTCCTTTCGTCCATCGCAGGTCCGCGATGACTTCGAGCTCATTGTGTGTGTCTGATGAGTTACAGGTTCATCGCAGGTTCGCGATGGCCCCCGTGATGGCTGTGGATCCATCGCGGGTCTGGTTTGGTGCCTTTATCGCAGTCACCGTTGTAGGGGAACGTATGTACTTCCAGGAAGCACAAAGGCTTGGCAAAGTAAACTGTTTATTACTCTTGAACTCACTCCTTGGACTCTTGGATCCTTGGATGTTCCTTGCAAATGGGGAGGGGTCCCTATTTATAAGGATCTCTACCTCCATAGGGGTGAAATTTGGACCGTCCATTATCACCTCTTCATCTCCATCCATTTTCCACCTCATTACCACAACCACTGATGTATCACCTCCTTATCTCAACCACATGTTCTACCTCCTCAATTGAACCTTTCAAGCATCTTCCATGAATATTCCATTCTAGAATATTATAAGATAGTTACAAAGGTAAGCCTAGGATATTCTAGACAATCCTACACTCTAGACTCCTCTACGACTCTAGACTACTCCAAACCCTTCAAGATGACTCTAGAAAGCTCCAGAATACTATTGATTTGGCTAGAAGGTTCTAGAATGGCCACTAAACCTCTAGCCAGATGTTCCTTTGCTGCTTAACTCAGGTGAGACATGACATCAGAGACACTAAGCATGAAATATAAAAAAATATATGAAGTCTATATAACAAATAACAAATGTAAAATAAAAGAGTAGATGTGTGCCTATGTATATACTTCTTCTCCATCAGTTTCACAATTCTTACAAAGATGCTACCATGAAAATAGATAAATAAGGTTCTGGTACTAAAAGACCCTTCTTTTCCTCTTTCTCCATGCACCCACTACGTCACCTAAGTTCAACACAAACTGCGACTTGGTTCTTTGAGAAAAGGAGTTTATTATTTTTATCTAAGGCCTTTCCAAAGTAAGGAGTTAGAAGGGATGAATCAAAGAATGAAGTGATAACAAGGCAATTACCAATGTTGGTGCCAACTATTTGGGGTCTTCAGAGGGGTGGACTAGGTAATGGACCTAAACTTAAACTTTGGCATTTTTTTTAGCACAAAGTGACCACTCTCAGACTCAAACCTGCATTCTCGGACTCATCAACCCTGGATTTTACCATTACACTAAGCAATGGCCCCGATTGCCTTAAATTCACCACCTAGAGCATTTGTTGAGTTTGTGCCTTGACTTGAATGCAGCCTGCTCCATAACCCAACCTAACATTTGTGGAGAAAAACCTGAATGAGAAATTCCATTATGATTTGTGGTGGATGTGGAGGGTTTGGCCCAAGCCCAAAGCCCACCATTGACCTCCTTTGAGGGTGTGGGGGTAGTTCCAACTGCACAAACCTGACCTGCTTCATATATGGGTCCCAGGTATATGTATATGTGTGTATCATGTTTCTAGGGTTTCTTATACAAAGAGAGAAAGCTTCAGATGTGTATTGTGTATTAGGCACTAGGGTTTGTGTCAGACTGCTAAAGCTCGCACTCCAATTTACTAATATAGTGGCCATTGATCTCCTTTGAGGGTGCGGGGGCAGAGTCCCCGCTGCACAAACCTTCTGATCCATATCGTATATGGGTCCTAGGTATATGTATATGTATATATCATGTTTCTAGGGTTTTTTTTTGTACAAAGAGAGAAAGCTTCAAAGGTGTTCTAGGCATACTAGGCACTAGGGTTTGTGTTAGGCTGCTCAAGCTTGTACTCCATTTTACTAATATAGTGGATTTCTACTACTCCCTCTCCGATGGACATAGGCCAAAGGCCGAACCTGTTATGGGCCCGGGAATAGGATCTCGTCACGGGTCGGTCCACGAGGAAAATCTCCTGTTTTCCCTTGTTCCTCCCTGCTCTTGATGAACCTATCTTGGCGCCCTAATGGTGATTTGTCCAAAGAGATCACCTAACTCTCCTTGCTCTCTTTCTTGACTGAAATTTTTGATACCTTTATTGAATAATATCAGCTCCTTAAATAGRAGATTACAAGAGGTAGAATCCTACTTTTAGGAGGACTCCTTGCTAATCTACTACTCTATCCTATTAAACTGATAAGATAAGACTGAACTGATAAGATAAGATAAGACTTCCTTAATCTATCCTACTAAACTGATAAGATAAGATAAGAACTGTAATTAGATAARATAAGGCTCCCTTAATCTATCCTACTGAACTGATAAGATAAGATAAGACTCCTATTAATCCCTGCTACTGAAAGCAGATAAGGTAAGAATACTGAATAGATAAGATAGGATGAGAACACTAAATTGCTGCTACTGAGAACACTAAATTACTGCTGCTGCTGCTGCCGGCACCCACATCAGAACCACATTAAATTCCTGTGTGCTCTTGAATTACTCTTTTTAAGTGAATGCCTGAAATGTTAGACCATGTGTCTAGTGATTTCTAAATAATTAATGAAGTTGTGCTTCTTCTTGGGCTAAAGGGAAGAGTATGAAGGGGGGCTATTTCTTTCTTTCTTCTTCTTTATGGAAAAGGATGTCCCTACTGCCTAGTTAAAAAGAAAAGGGTTGGTGTAGCTTGCACATTGATTTTAGGGGTAAGTCCAGGAGCATGTAGATGGTTTGGATTTGCAAAGGTTTCAAAAGATGAGGGTGTACATTAATGTAAAAAAAGTCAATCTATTTCTTTCCTTTTAGATTCATTAATACTATTTTAGTCCACCCCCCTAGGGGTGATCATGGGCCAGGCCCAGGCTGGTTTAACACCCATGATAAAGGCTTCAGCCTAGGCCCAGGCCCAGCCCGGCCCGACCCATACCCTAGGCCTAAAATTACAAGCCTAGGCCTAGCCTGCACATGGGCCTGGGCTGGGCTTACAAGCTTTCCACACCTAATGAAAAAATTAATTATTTAGAAAATTTTAAATTAAATAATATATAATATATAATACATGAAAAAAAAAACATTGCACAAGCCCAAACTAGGCTAGGGTTGGTTTGGCTTTGGGCCTTTTGGACAAAAATAAAGGTAATGGGCCTCATTTAATTCTTAAGCTTGGTTTAGCTAATGAAGGCCTTCCATTCTTGAGCAATGTGGGACATGGAACAACACTCAATAGTGAGTGTTACTATTAACTTTTGTCCCAAGTCCCACATTGCTCAAGAATGAGAATGAAGATCTTGTCTTCATCCATAAAAGGTCTTGCCTAGGAGGACAACTCTCATACTTGAGTTGAAAATTTATATTTTACATAAAATAGTAAATGTTTATTATAAAACAAAAATACATTTGCATATATAACATATAAAATATATAATATTAAGTATATACAATTTATTATATATAATGCATAATATAATATATTATAGTAAAAATAATATATATTTAAGAATATCTATTATATTATATTGCAGCCTGAGCTTGAAGTATTAGGCCCAAGCCCGGCCCAGAATTTTCTGGGCTTAATGTGGGTCCAGGCTTACACACAAAAACCTGGGTCATGCTGGGAAATTTACAGGGTGGACCGGATCAAGAATGATCCCCCCCCCCCCCCCCCCGCATGTGCATGCACGTCAAACTTCTTTTAAAATTCATATTGAATCCAATGTTGCATGGACCCTGCTAAATTTAACATCTCTTCAGCTATGGAAAAAAGGTATATGATGAAGGCCACTATTCCTATAGGATGTTACCTTAACAAAGATAAATTTTTAGACATATTTTATAGGTAATATGATGTTATCTGCCAAAAAAAACATAGATATATGATGTCAAAATTAAGATACATAGACTAATATAATATTACATTATTTTCTGTAAACAAGTCCTCTAGTCCATGTTTTTTCATTTTACCAAGTCACTCCTAGACATTCATGGATTCCAATTCCTGTGTCCATGCAACACTGATTACATTTAGCTTCTTAACAAGCATGCAGAAAGAAAATGTCAAATGCCACAAACCCTGATAAAATGAAAAGAGTGAAAGAAGTAATCTCTCTACCTGGGCATCATACATGACAAGGCCAGCAACAACCACTGTCATGCCAAAAATTGAATCTGAAAGCCCCCTGCATTTTAGTAAATGAAAGGAAAGCATACATCAATTGTATAAGATATTGGCCTACCATTTTTTTTTTGATAATATTGACCCACCAATTAATACTCCACAGTTTTCAGTTCATAATATAAGGGAAGGGAGTAATCCACGATAAAAGGACTTGGTAGAGCAAAAACAAAATTTTGGTCACCATTGTGCCATTTCTTGATTGTGTTTCATTTTTGTCATTGTTTTAGAGAGGCTAAACTTTATAGAGTTTTTGTCTTATGAGATCTTTCCTAGTTATCAACTACGATGTATACAGGACGATGACGGGGATTGTACACACGCTAGATTGTAAACCTTCCTCTATTAATAAATTTTCTTTCCTTCCGAAAATGAAAAGAATTAGCTGACCTTTCAAGGCCAAGGGATGTTGCAGCGGCCATAACTACCTGCCAATTGAAAAGAACCAAAATTTGGAATGGAGTAACTCAACCATTGATAGGCAAAGAAATCAACGATGAAGAAAATGCAAAGTAAAAGACAAACAAAAACGAAAGAAAAGGCAAAATAAGAAATGAAAAAGGAAAAGGTGGAAATTCGAAATCAGTGGCGTCGTACAGCAGAATGGGTAGAAGGGAATCCTCCGGGAAGCACGGCTGTTTTAAAATCGATATCATTTCCGTAAAGAAGGGCCGAAGTAAAAGGCTTTGAGAGCTGCCCAATTGCACAAGAAACACCAGCTGCAACCAAAACCTACCAGAAAGGAATCAATTCGAAAGTATGCATCCATCAGATAAAAGAAACAAGAAAAAATCAAAGATACCTAACAGAAATGAAAGGGAAAAAAAATCAATATTCCCGAACCCCACCCACAACTGATGTAAATCTCTCTACATTTTTAAATTCTTTATAAAAATTAAGAAAAGAATATGCGGAAACTTACCTTATTTTGAGTGATTTCTGCTAACTGTTCAATTCCAACACTGAGACAAATGAAGGAAGCAGAGTTCGGTTTTCTAAACGAAAGATGGTTGTTCAGAAAAAGATGTTGCTTCCTTGAGCTTGAGGACAAGAAGATTGGCTGTGGAAGACGAGGGAGGATTGCAGAATACGACAACATGGTTTTCTTTAGTTTGAAAACCGTACCAGCTGCTCACAACTTCGCCGACCCTACTGTGGCACTCAAACCACCAAAGAAGAAGAGTGAAGTGTTCGTTTTTTTGGCTCCCTCTCGTTACCGTTATCCGTTTTGGCACGCTGCAACAAATTTCTGAAATGGTCCAACGGCTGCCGGGCTTCGTGTCGACTGTCGACGATGTTTGGTTTTCTTGGTAAATGTAATGCGCGCAGCGGCTAGAGTGCAATCGAGTCGAACCGAGTCGAATTCGAGAGTCTGAATCTCCTACCCATAAAAACTCTGCCCACTTCTACCCACATAACATCGCGCCACATATGGAGACATCTTCCTACATGATATAATGCACGGTGAGATGTTTTCAAGGTAGTGTATTGTACGTAAACGTGGGCAGAGTTTTTGTCGCAGGAGATCCAGGGTGGTCGAATTCAAGTTGAGTTAGATTCGAATTCTATTTTCTTCTTTGGGCACGATTAAATAGCGGATGAATTCATAAGGCCCCGTTCGATGTATGAAAAAAATCAGAAAGTTGATTAATTATTAATTGATAATTTAAAAGATATCAGAGATTTTTTTTTTGGCAGAGGCTAAAACATAGGGAAGACTTAAAAATTGTTTCTTTAATAATTTTTTGATTTAATAATTAGTAAAAATTAATGTAAATTATTAATAATTAATTATCAAAATTATTAAAAGTTTCCAATTTAATAATTTTCAAAAAATATTAAATTTCCTAAATAGTTATGAAAATTATAAATATAGCTAAAATTAATTTATTAAATTATTATCAAATTAATATAATATTAGTTTATTAAATTACACAAAAAATAAGACATTTTATATGCAAATCGAGCTTCAAGTTCCTCAAACCTGAACATTTTCTATTGATATAGAGGCAAAGCCCAGCCCGACCCGACTCATAAACAGGCCTACTAATGAGATGATTAGTCATATGGAAAGTCTTGAGTCTGGGATACCTTAATTATTAACTTTACTCCACTCCTCTTTCCATATTTTTGACAAGTGTTCACTGCTTAAGTTTGCCTTGGTAGTAATATAAATTTTGTTTTCATATGGAAAAACCTTACATGCAAACATAGTAAATAAGAGATTGGTATGAATGAAATTACAGAACTTAATTGCTTTGAGGAAGTGACTAACATTGAATGACGGCATCGGTCCCTATCTTGGCTAGCTAAAATTTATTAATTCCCAATTGCTATTATTATTTTTTATCGGTTCACCTAAGCAGTGGTAATATCGGTTGATCTTGATTACCCCATTCTGGCCCCAACCTACATATGTAAATACATTTGTATGTATCAAATTCCAAAGCATTTGACTTTTAAAAACAGATTTTTTTTAAGCCCGAAGGCAAATTCATTAACCAGGTCGTGGAAATTCTCCAAGGTGGTTATAAGTCTGAAGATAGTGAATCCACCAGCTCTTTTGCATCACTCTCTAAGGAAATGTAATCCATCATCATGTTTTCTTTTTTTTGATAGATTAACTATCTGAGCTAACATATGAGTTGCCCTATTTAAAGTTCGAGGAATATAGGCAAAAGCTGTGGAGCTGCGAAAGAGCCTTATTCACACCGCAAACAACTCAGCACGGGGAAATGCTGTGGGGCGCCCGTACGCCAATGCAAATTTGACTTAGGGATTAATATGGTTCTGCCATGGGGCTAATATGATGCCAATAAGTGCAAACCTAAAAGACTAATATACTGCTGTGACATAGATACTAGATTGGACTGATGTGAGTTAAAAAAAAAAAAAAAAACGCATGCTACTGTAACAGTGAACCAAAACTGGGCTGAAATGGTATCAAAACAATGCGACCTATAAAGCTACATGTTGCAGCAACAGGGATCCTGAATTGGGCTGAAATGATGCCAAAACAAAAATGCAGGCTGATAGAGCTACATGCTGCAGCAACAGTGGGTCCTAATGGTCCTAATGAGCTGAAGCGAGAGCAAATAGTTCAGAATAGCAGACTTAAGCAATCTATCAAACATGATGATTTTGTGGAAAAGAAGAAGGGCTAGGATAGAGTTTTGAAATGGTTGCACTCTTCTGTTATTTACAGCAGGAAAAAGGCTAACAGAGGATCACATAAAGGCCAAGTTCAACTGGTATTTACAGCAGAGGAACACCTCACAGAGGGGCCTCATGGCGGTTTATACGGGTTAATGGCATTTAATTTCCAGCACTAAAGGGGATTCAAAATGAGAGGTTCAAATTTCAAAAGAAAATTACACTTCCAGTTCCATACATCTACATTAATACCTCCAATTTCAACCCAACATCAAAATAACCTCCAAATTGCTACTCCACCCAACCATTCATTCATAATGCCAGCTCATACTCCCTCTTCACAATCACTCAACAACCAAATGCATCTTCGAAGCACAAAGAATAGCCATTCATCCAGGAGCCAAGAATCATCTAACCACAATCATCAAGTCAAACTCCAACATCTACTCGGCCTAAAAAAACCAAAGCAAAACACAGATTATTTTATCACTAGGGACAGCAAATGAAGAAAACCAAACCACACAAATACTAAGAAGCAAAGTAAAAGCAAACCAAAAATCTTGAAAACATTTTTCTTTTTCTTCCTTTTCTTCAAGAATGCAAAAGGAATTGAAAACAGAAACTTCCCCTTTTCTTTTCTTTTTCAAAAATACCAAGCAAAACCACAAAAAAAAATGAAATGTAATATCAACAGAACTGTATCCACAAATCACATTCTGTATACATGCTGAAACTAAAGATGGGATAATTATTGATCCACATTCAAAATACAAGCAATGCTTAGTTATTTTCATGAAGTTCAAAGAGTCCTAACCCTGCCTATATGATGAAAAAAGATCATGAACATCTAGAATAGTTATGGCCTCTCAATTGGCATCTTAAATGAAAAGAAAAAAGAGGAATATTCTAAGTTCTAATGCAGGCCGCAACAATGGAAACTCTATGTGAGCTTGAGAGCTGTACTCGAAGTAGAGGAGAGGAGAAGAACACCACTGATATGCTGTAAATGTCGAACTGTACTAGCCAGTCGACCATGCTATTATTTATATTTGAATGTAGTACAATGATACAAGTAATTACTGGAATGCCCCTGATTAGTGATGGGACACCCAGTTAACTTAACATTAAACAAGCTTAGGCCCATTAACACAGGCCCAG